CTTCCATGCTCCGTGCCTGAACCAGGCATGTTAAGGAGTGCATACCGCATGTGCGGGTAGCAGACAGCTCTCTATGTGGCACGCATAAGGCAGGTATATGCAACAGGTAAACGTCAAGGATATGGCAGGATAACCTGATTTACTGGGAAAATTTAGGAGAGTTTCCCATTCCTTCCCCTCCTTCCCAGCCAATGTTTTGCTTGCTGCAGTCAAGAGACCTTTGAGTCTGCCTTTAAAAGCAAATAGTGGGGACAAATAGGTGGAAGGAGTCTTCTCGACCAGTCTGTCCTTTCGAAAGGAAGGCAGTCACAAAAGCGCTGAGCACCCTTGGCCAAAATGGACTCTTGAGCTGGATGAGGCACATGCTTTGAGGTTTAGTAACATATTTATCTCTCCCTGTGTAAATAGTGGTGCTAGTACCCTGTCACCTACTCCGGTGTTTACACTCCGTCCTGCTGACAGACAGGGCGAATGAGTGTGCCATAATCGCATCTTTTCCAGCAGGATCTCACGAATAACAACAACTGATAAGATGGAGGTGGTTTGATGCCTGTTCAAGCTGTTTGCATAAGTCAGAAGAAGGAGAAAACGAAGCAGCATGCTCTCCCTGAGAGCCAGAAAGTGTCACCGATAACCACTGTACTGTGCAGCTAGCCCCATTTCTTCCAATGCAGAGTGAAGCGTTACGTTCTGTGAGTCAGAGCTACAAAGCAGGACCTCTGGCTATAATCTTTGCTCTATATATATCGCTAATGGAACAGTGAAATATTTAATATGAAAAGGAAGTGACACTGAACATTAACTTTGAAAGAAAACATTTCACCTTATTGAAGCGAGAAAGTTGCGATGACGCATTTTAGTTTCATTAAACCTCGTTAAAAGGACAGGGTTTTCCCAAGAAATGTCTCTGCCTTGATAGTCTCCTTTGAAATCCAACCTTGCTTTCACTTATTTCTCTCAGCTACAGCCTGAACCTGGCACCACCTGGGAGCCTGGGGTGAACTTTCTGCATGAGACATTATCAGCTCTCCTGCTCTCTGCTCTACTGTCTGCTGCTGCCAGACTTTCTCTTGCCCCAGTGCACTAGCCAGTCCAGCAACCATTGCAGGAGGAGGTAGGTTTTAATAAAGCCTCCCCGCTCTGTTCTCACCTGGCCGCCATGCTACCTGCTGTGTATCATTCATTATACGCCATTTTCAGCTGACCCATAATCTGTGGGGCTCTTAGGGGAAGTTTAAGCTAAGCAATAGGCTATAGCTGGGAATGGCAGGTTTGCAGTGGATTAGCAATGTGCTGTTGCAAGCTCTGGCCTCTCGGCTCTTTTTTTTCCAAGCACAGGTCCTGAAGATGATGAGCCAGCTGGTTGTGCCACGTGAAAGACACAGCTTCCTGGTGAAAAAGTCCAGTAGCTATAACAAGATTTACCCCCATGCTGCAGAGTGCTAAGTTAGACTGTGTTGAACTCCTAGAGTTCATTGACTTCAGCGTCTAAGGTAGGTCATTCGAAGCCTGTCCAGGTACTTCTAGGTTACAATCCATAGTGTACATGCAGCCTAAAGAAGCTACGGTATTTGGTTAAAATTCCTAGTTGTAGTTGTTACTGCACCTGCATTCTGGTTACATTTGAATGAACACAGCACTGCCTGACTTTTGAGGCAGCACTGTACCATTTATGATGATGGATTCTGATCAAGAGCAAGGGCAAAGTCAGCTGCAGATCCTTCCTCTTCCCACACTACAGAGGGTTCAGCTCTGTGAGATCCTGAGTCTCTGGCTGCAGTCCAGCAGAGCACTTAGGCCACTTAAACGTGCCGTCAGCGACAGTGCTCACGTGCTTAAAGATGAACCTACAATTTGATGGTTGCCGAACAGGGCGTTAAGTCCTTAGCACAGCGCGTAATTCGTAACACCCAGAGGCTTGTATGGGCCCGCACCAAGCTCGTATAGGTCCACTTTAGGCCCTGTGGGCTTGAACGTGCCTATGTCAGCCTCTGCGGGCTCATGCGGGCCTCCACGGGCTCAGACGGGCCTGCACCGAGCTCGTATGGGCCCATGACAAGGTCTATGGGCTCATACAGGCCCGTGCCGGGCTCTCTGAGCTCGTGTGGGCCTGCATGGGGCTATACAGGTTTCTACAGGCCCACACGGAACTTGTAAGGGCCCGCGCCAAGTGCTACGGGCTCATACAGGCCTGTGCCAAGATCTATGGGCTTGTATGAACTGGCACCGGGCTCTACAGGCTTGTAAAGGCCCATGCCGACCTTGTAAGGGCCTATGCTGGGCCCTAAGGGCTCATATGGGCCTGCTCCAAGATTGGAGGAGCCTGTGCCGGGCTCTATGGGCTTCTATGGGCCTGAACAGGGCGCTACGGACTCGTACAGGCCCGTGCTGGGACCTATGGGCTTATATGCACCCGTACCAAGCTCGTATGGGCCTGTGCTGGGCTCTATGGGCTCATACAGGCCTGCACCAAAGGGCACGCCAAGGCTCCCCGCTCTGCTATAACAGCACGCCAAGGCTCCCCGCTCTGCTATAACAGCACGCCAAGGCTCCCCGCTCTGCTATAACAGCACTCGGAGCCTACCCAGCCTCCTAAAATGACATTCAGAGGCTGCCTGGCCACATACGTAGGCACGTAGAGAATGCCCAGCCTCCTAGAACAACACTCAGATGCTCCCTGGCCTCCCAGAACAAAACTCAGATGCTCCCTCATACCCAAGAACAACACTCAGAGGCTGCCCAGCTGCACATGAAGGCATGTGGAGGCTGCCCGGCCTCCTAGAATGACACTCGGAGGCTGCCCGGCCGCACGTGAAGGCACGCCGAAGCTGCCTGGCTGCACGCAAAGGCACGCTGCCCAGCCCCCTAGCATGACGCTCAGAGGCTGCCCGTTCTCCTACAAGACACTCAGAGGCTCCCCGGTCTCCTAGAACGACATGTGGAGGCTGCCCGGCCATAACGAAACGTACGCAGAGGATCCCCGGCTATACGACAAGACACACGGAGGCTCCTCGGCTGCACCCAAAGGTACATGGAGGCTCCTCAGCTTCCTAAAACGAAAACTGGGGGCTCCCTTGTCTCCTAGAAGGGCACTCGGAGGTTGCCCAGCTGCAAGGAAAGGCAAGAGGAGGCTGCCTGGCTTCCTATAAGCTGCCCATGACTCTCCCACCCCCCACCGGTTACACAGCTGCTCTTTCCACCCCAGTCACATTCCCCACCCACACCAGCCCCCCACACCAGGTGAGGTATCCGCTTTGCCAGAACAGGTGTCAGGAAGGGGCACGAGGGGCCCACACAGCCAGTTCAGGGCAAGGGGGCAGCTTGCTGGCTGGGGTGGGGTGGGGCTGGGGTACATGCGCCCCTCCTGCAGGGTCAGGGCCTCCAGCCCACAGCCCGAGGTAGGCAACTGGGGGGGATGAGCGGGAGGGAAACAGTAAGGTGATGGGGGGGCAGGTGCGTGTGCCACAGCCTGCTGTATGGTTTATCCTGTGGCGGCTCTAACACCGTTTGCTGCAGAATCATTCTTATGTCATGAAGCCGAATAAAGTCTTCTTCCGCTTCCCGTTTTTCCCTTGCAGTAGCACTCAGCATCTAGGAAAAGTCAATCCATCTGCAGTTGTAAAAAGTCATCCAACCCTTCTACAATTTGCGAGAAGCCCTCGCTATTGTGCCTTTCAGCTGCAGTTGTTATGGTTCCTAAAAGCTTGTCTAGAAGCTGACTATGGTAAGCAGTCCCCTCTGGAAGAGGCTTAGCCCCCTTGCTTACTAAACTCTGGCATTTAGGGCACCAATAGATCATCTGAATGCATTTCTCTCCACTTGTTAGGTAAAGCTGAAAACAAGTCAAGGAACAAACGTTGAAACAGCTATGCCTTTACTGCTAAATAAAGGGAGTAAGTCTCTATTGGGATGTTAAGTTAAGAAACACAGAAAGATGGGTCAGGGAAAAACAATTACTACCCTTGCAACATTTCACTGCTTGTACCAGATGTACAGTTGGATCATTGGCAATTCTAGTTGTCTTTTCAGATACCAAAATTATTTATTGTATACAAGATGGGGAGTTTTTCCTCTTGAACCTCCAGTAAACACACTCAACCATTCAAAGTATACTTATATCAACTGATTATATTTGCCTTAAAAAGCTCATGGAAGTGTGCTACATACAAGTTACGGAATTCAGTTTTTATTTAAGACTTCAGGTATGAATGCAAACTATTCTGACCCGGTCAAATTATTTAGAGATAGAGAGAAGATCCTTTGAGAAAAATCTCCTTTTTTAAAAAAAAGTGTTTTTTAAATTAATGACAAACCTCTACAGGCAATGTCGCATCAGTCATTCTGAAAAATAATTACTCTGTCTTCCCCTCCTTAGAATAATTAATGGGACAAATGGATAAGGTCATTAAGGGGATTACATTAGGTCCCTGCCTCATATCCATTGAGGTAAGTTGTCCTTCAATTTAACGGACAGCCCACGACAGCCTGTGGCAACCCATTCCATCCATTCAATATAACATTAGAAAACTCCCTCAAGTTGACCCTCAGCTTTCCTTGTGACAATTCAAAGCTTATTATCTCTTTGCATACTCATCAGAGATACAGGAAACAACTGTTTGTAAAGGGCTGCTGACAAGAGAAACCTTATGGCTCATTAAATCTCTTCTTCACAAGAAGCAATTACAGTTCTTTGAAACCTTCCACTTACATCCACACTTTTCTCTGCTATATTTTTTTTTCCTGATTTAATACTAGATCAATACATAAGAACAGGTAAAAGTCTCTTAATTTAAACTACAAGTAACATAAAAAGTAAAAAGACTGTCAACATCATAACAAGTTACAGCTGCATTTGCTTTACAGGCAAAATCTCTCACCTGTGTTCCTGCCAACACCTCACAAGCATTCAAGAAGTATTACAGACTCACAGAATGGCCAGGTTGCAAAGGACCCCTGGAGATCATCTAGTCCAAGCCCCCTGCTCCAGCAGGGTCACCTAGAACACATTGCCCAGGATCATGTCCAGGCAAGTTTGGAACATCTCCAGGGAAGGAGACTCCACAACCTCTCTTGGCAGCCTCTTCCAGGGCGCAGTCACCCTCACAGCAAAGAAGTTTTTCCTCATGTTCAGATGGAACTTCCTGTGCTTCAGTTTGTGCCTGTTGCCTCTTGTCCTGTCACTGGGCACCACAGAGAAGAGTCTGGCCCCAAATATTCAATTTCAGTATCTCTCTTATACGTTTTCCTCTCCAAGAAAGGAGATGGCAAAGAGTATTTTGAGTTCCGTCATCATGTTAGGTTGCTTTGGATCAACTGCTCTTGATAACAATAAGAGACTTCTTTCATCTCCTAGAATCCTTTGCAATCTGTATTTAGAGAAACAAAAAGAAAATTTGCAATGAAAAGCTTGCATCTGCCCCAGATGTTCACCATCGTCTCTGGGTTTCAGACTGTTAAGAATGGTTACGCACACTCTTCCATATGAGCTCACTAACGTTCTACTACTAAAACCTTGTGGCTATTACTGCTTGGGAACGCAAGTTAGTCTTCCTAATCTTAAAGCTGAGGCTTTTTGTTGACAAAAAGACTCAGCTCCTGAGGAAGGTATCTTGTAAAATCAGGTACTTCCCGAGAAATAAACCACAGTTTATTTCCTAAATATATCTGAAAGACCCCACCAGTAGGAAAAGTCAGTTCAATTTTTCCCTGTTAACTTTTACAAAAAGCTTTTCCCCTGGCAACTCAGATTTCATGCAACAGGCTAAAAAAAAAAAATTTACGTAGATGTTCAGTCCTACAGCAAACTATTCCGTAAGCGTTTGAGATTATTAACCTCAATCACAGAAGTTAAAAGTAACTTTAATACGTAGCTATATTTACTGCAGCGGGGGAAAGATAAGTCACTATTAATAACACTGGCGTTTGTTATGAATGAATTAAAACCATGACTTTAATGAATCAACTTCTAAAAGCAGTTTGCTGTGTCACTCATGTTCCTAAAGTTTATGTAAAAACACATTAGATTCATCTTAAACTGGACAATTTATATCCTTTACCCACTCTCTACCACTTTAAGAACCGCACCTATAAATGTTAATTATACTCAATTTAAATTAGGCGGAAAGTATGTTGTATTTATTAACAAAAACAACCCTGCCATTTAGAGTTCTGCTGAGTAGACAAAATACTAACCACAAATGAAAAAAGTTCTCAAACATAAAAGCTCAAAACAGGCTTTAAGATAAACAACAGTAGATGCTGCCACGCTAATCCATGATAATATATTTCAAAAGTTACGTTTCCTACTAGCTTTTCCATAACCTTGTTCTACAGGGGGGCAAAATAAGAGTTGCCACCACTGGTAGTCAGTCTTTTTCTGACCAGTTAATTTTTTTTTTTTTTGAAAAATATATCCTTATTTAATTTTACATAGAGCGTGTTCTGTGCTGACTTTAGGACAGTGGTTTGGTAAATACACGCTAAAAAATATTTTTGCCCTAGGCAATTTAGAGGAAAGTACCAGTACTAGCGAGAGGGGTACTTACCCATTTATAAATGCATGGGGCAAGATATACCACCATATTGTTGCAAGGTTGTCTTCCCCCCCCACCCTGTTTCCTTTTTTTTTTTCCTCCTTTTTTTAAAAAAAAAATCAATCTATAGGCTGAAATGGCATGTAATGTCTGCAACAGATTATCTCAGGTGATTATATTCTGTGTCCAAAATACCTGACTGCATTATGGTTGGGGAAAAGACTCATGCTCCTTTTCTCCTGTGACAGCATGAATGTGTACACACACACAAAATCTTTTTGAAGTGCTGACTTTGTACAAGTGTATATAGCACATAGTAGTGCTGTTCCAATTTAATGTTTTTCAACCAGTAGTGGAGGTGCTCACAGCAAATTAAGCTTCTCTAACTAGTCTCAAGGCTGATGCTTCCTAGTTTCTTTTGTATTTGTTTTAAAATACACTGTAATTTTTTTTTAAACTAGAGTTATGAAAACAGGGTGCAAAGACACTTCCCTCAAACATACTCATAATTGGAGGTTTGAAATTCTTACTGTAGCCATCATCTAAGATGAAAAATATTCAGTCACCATAGTACCTGAAAGATCAGTGTCAGTATCATCAGATATTAAACTATATTATAATTGTATACTCCATATGCACATTCTTTCCTTTTGCAGAAACAGTACATCATAACCTTAAGTCAATAGTAAACACTGTCATTTAGAAATATGCTTAGAGCAATAACAAGGACATTCACAACTTTTCTGTCACAATGACTACATGCAATTTTTGATCTATACAAAAGTTGGAAGCATACTTGTCGATTCAAGGTAGACTCAAGATTGCCAGTAATAATTTTGTGATCTTAACTCATGGTAAATACTCATGGTAAAACCTGTATCTAACAATCAAGTCATTTCATAACGCTTAGTGTTCAAGCAGTAGCATAAACTATTTTTAACATGCAGTTCACATGACATTAGGTTCTAAATCTTTCAGTCTGAAGTGACCTAAAAATTGGCTGAACTTGGATACCCAGTAGATAGGGTAATGCAATATTATAATTGCAATGCTAAATATGCTACCAAAAAAGTTCTTTTCAAGGAAGTTCTTTTCAAGAGATGTCAGCCTTCCTACAAAATAAATTTGATAATTTAATTTTTGCAGTTCTGAAACTGCACTTACCAAGCAAATACAGAACTTTGAAGAAAAAAACACTTTACCAATACAGCCACAGCATACAGGACTATCAAAAGCACTGTAAGCGCTCTCAAGTCAGAAACTGAAAACAGGCTTTCTGCAACTGAAAGCTGAAATTACTCTAGGTTTGGAGGAGAAACAAACAAAAACAAAAACAGTTCTTCTGTTACCAAGTAATCTTGTCCTAGTGTTTCCACAGATAGGATGTAAACTTCAAGGCTAAATTACAACTCAAATTTAATATTTGCCAACATTGCAAAGACTACAAGCAAGCATCTGTCCTTAACTTCTACTGTTTATTACTCAAATCAGAAAAACACTGAACAGATGCTACTCAAAAGCATTTTGCCTTAAAGGTTTTGTTAAGGAAGTTAATTCCGCACACAGGATTTTGTAAGAGGAATTCTTGCTCTAGCTTAATAAACTTCTGTCAAGCCACAGTTACACTTCCACATGTGCATATAAAGCCTGTATAAAGTTAAAATAGCTCCAAATTTTAACTATCCTGGTACCTAATACCAATATCTCATACTCCCATTTATTCCTAAAGAAAGGGTTTCTCATAAAATGAATAAATGCACACAGAGAAAGAACGTTACATTCAAACGTCACAGCTCTATTTTTATACTGCTGTTATATCAAACAGAAGACATGATGCAATATTGTAAATATTTTTTATTAATAAGAAAAACAGTCTTGTGAACAGATAAGACCCTTGCAGTTTCAATCTAACAGTATTTAAGTAGCAAAAGCAACATTTAATTTAAAAACATACTCTGTGTACATCTGATGCATGTTCACCGCCAAGTCATCTGGAGCTAATGAAGAGAGACTTGAATTTGGGAGAAACCGCGCTGAAAGAACAGCAGCATAGTCCATCACACAAGACAGATCTCTAGAAGACCGTTAGCTAATTGAAGACAAAAAAGGGCTTCCCAATTTCCTAATTCGTACCAATTGGGAAAGAAGAAACCCACCATTCTGACCTTATTAAAAAAATAAACAATTATTCAGATATTGCATTTATTTCAACGTGCAATGAAATATATTTTGCCATCTCAGGAGACAGAGTAACATGAAATTATCGCTCTTGAAAAGGATGCTTCTTATCACATGCTATCTTTGGTATGAGAAGCGACTTCAGGCACAGGCTGATATTTAAAAAACAGAGAAAGAGCAAGAAGGAAAACTAAAAAAGTTTCATTAAGAATACTAGCTTCTCTTTATTCATCAATATGCATTAATAAACAGGATAAACTTGTATTTTGCACTTGCTTGGAAGGACAGAGATAGCAATTTGTTTTCTGACCACCTGCAACCAAGTAGCATTCTTGATTTTAGGGTCATTGCTCATCAGTATTGCTTCCAGTGAGGCCAAAGCAATTACAATATTTTCAAATGGCATCAAGTGTAATACATCAATTAACAATTTAGTGTTTAATCTTTTGTCTTTCCTCAGAAAGCATATCTGCTTTTTTTCCAGATGCATTCTCTCAGCCATTCTTCACAGGCAAAAAACTTAATACAGATAAGGAAGTTCTCTTGATGCATAACAACTGCACTTATGGTTTTACATTCAAGACTAATGCAGTTGGCAGACCTAGGATCAAGTTGCATGTGGAAAAACATACCAGAAAACCAACCAGCTCTTCAGGCATGAAGATTTCTAAAACTGAAGTATAATAGTTGTGATGTTCCATTTTTAAGAATATCTATCTAGTATGGACATATGTCTAGAACTTCATACATACCTATGATAGTGTTAGGATTTCCAAGTATAATCATACTGAAATCTTAGGAAAAATTTATTTTGAAAAACAACTTTATGATTTAGTAGCAAGGATCCTTCACACAGAGGGCTAATTAGTTTTACTTTTCACATTATAGATGGGGGAACACATAGAACTATGTTGATGTTTGCATTCAATCCTCAATATTCGTTAAGAGCATAAGCCTATCAATTAAGCACCCAGAAGATTTTTAAAAAGTTTAAGTTTTAGTGCTATTAACCACCAGAGTAGTAGTTTGGGAGCAGAACATGATTACCATCACACACATAGTCTGCTTGATTTCACTAATTATCATACATATTCCTAATAGTTGGCATCCTCCTGCAAAGCCTGTACCATCTACCAATCAGACAACATTAGAGATCATAAAAGCTTGAGAGGCATCAATCACAGTGGTTCAGTAAAATGATACATGGCTGTTCATTCCTTCCAGCTAAGGCTAACAAGACTTAACTCATTTTATACTATCTCAGATATCTGAGAACAGGAACACTAACCTATAAAGGTCTTCTGTTCCTTCCTTGTCTATACTAAATGTTGCAGGGGAAGGGAGGAAGGAAGGAGAGGGAGGTCAGCCATATCTGATCAAAATAACTGTGTCCCATTCAAGTGTTCCTACTTAAAATTTGAGATTTGGTTGGTTAGCTCCTTAAGATTTTGCTGTCAGCAATATGTCTTCTCCTCAAAAAGAGCTTTCAATCATAGAAAAAGTAAAACTCTAGATTTTTGATGTGTTTGCATCAATAAAGTCCACAATACTTACATATCAGAATGACGTTCACTGATGCAGCATTTTTCTTTCGAAAATAAACCAAGTTACTTTTTTTTTTTTTTGGCCAAACAAAGCAACCTGTGGGTCACCAGTCATTGGGGATTTGCACAAACTTTGCCAGAGCTTTCAAGAATTAAACAGCTTTGGTATTGATTTCATTTGAAATGACTAAGTGGCAGGGAGGAGAGGTCAGCACAACTGATTGAGAATTTTTATACCCTGAGACAGTATAACAGCAGCTTCCATATTTTTTGGATTCTGAACACTGTAACAACCTAAGTTAATGACCTAAACTCACAATGAATTATTGCTTAAAAATGGTTCTGATGAACTTCAGAAAGTTCTGATAGGCAAACTACTATTTTCTCAATTACTAAATATTCTAAAAAGGATCTCCAAGAGCGCCCCAAGAAACACCACCACGCAACAAATAAAGAAATAATCACAACAACGAATCAAGAACACAAGTTACACATCAAAAGCCTGCCTGGTTAATTTAAAATTAGTAAGAAGTAAGCGCAATGCTTAGAATTAAAGAAGGTCCTTTTACTAGCGTTTCTGTAAAAGGAGTGGGTTCCGCCCTAGGATCCCAACTCAGAGGTGAAGAACGAAATTTAGGCCACTGACACTGGTTTTGTTAGCATGGATAGAATAAGCCTGCCAGAAGAAAGCCATTTCCCGAAACAGCCCTACTAGTCTCACTCAGAGCCTGCCTTCAATCTGGTCTTTCCTCTTTTTCACTTTGGATTAATCTTAAGAGCATTTTCTTATACAGCTGCCTTTCAAACAATTCACATTTACTAACTATAGCCTTTTTGAGAGCAGATCCATTAAACACAAGTTTTTTCACTGCACAGAATACATCGCTTAGATAAAGTGACAGTTAAGTGGCAACTGCAGCGCTTTCACAGACCTGACTGTTGATTCCTGCGCAGATCTCTGGCTAGGGCATATCCTCTTTTAAGCTATCATTGATATAAGGCCTGCCAAGCTTTCCAACAGAAAAGCTCAAGTTTTCACCATCCAACGCTGGGGCCTTCTTCCCCATTCACACACATTCCCTTAGTTATGGCAGTTACAGTTGCCTGCTTCTTATAAGGTGGACTTGGGGCAAGGTGGTAGGGTTTTTTTGGGGGGGGAGGGGAGGACGAGGGGAGGGGGTTGAAAAGTCACTTTGACTAAAAACTTATTCTGAAAGTTTTGGTCTTCTGTAAGGCTGTAACTTTGAAAGAGTTCCCTAAATGGACTGAAAGAGCAGGAAATTAGAATTTGTACAAAGATCATACTATTTAGCTGTACTAGTACAGTTCTGGTCTGATGATACAACAACAGCCACATAAAGAACAAGCTTTATCTATATCTCGGCTAGGAAACTATTTCATTCAAAACCTACTTCTCTCCCCAATAAAACACTCGAAACTACACTGACCGGCTCTAAGGACAAAAGTGTCATACTTCAACTAGAACAGCTTTAGGTCACCAGCTGGAGCTAAACTTCTACCATTCACCTCTAGAGAGCGAACAAAGCCTCCTACAATCAGCCAATTCCAAATTCAGCACAAAAAACTTATGACATGAGGGAAAGAGTTTTGATTTCCTTTCACTGGTCAAGTTACTCACTGAAACTGCTCTTTGCAACAGTTGAGCCTCAGGATAGCTTCCCAATAACCATCCATCTCTCTTAATGCAGAAAGTAGTCCTTTTCAACATCCTCTGAAATAAGCTGCAAAACCTTAGAAGAACCATTTAGGTAATTATTCTCTGAACACAAAGTAAAGAACCGCGAGAGCACTACAACAAGTCTATGCACACAGACGCATTTTAAATTTCCCTATATAGAGTTTTTCCGGACAACTCTGATGAAGCACATGCTATAATACCCATAGACAGAAAAGGGACTAGAGCAAAAAGCAGAAAAAAAGGGTTATTTTCAGCACCCCAAATTAAAAAGACGACAAAAAGCTTAGCTAAACCCATCCTTCATAGAAGCTGCAGCACAGCCTGTGTTAAGAGTCCTAACAAGTTAATGTCATCAAAACCTCTTTGGATTAACGAAGACAATTGTAGCACACGCAGAGAAAACGAATGCATTACCTAAAGGGCAACTGAGGAACAGTGGTCTGTAGGACACTCATCCTAAGAAGGAACAGCATTTCTCAGAGTACCCTTCAAGAGTTCACACAAGACCTTTAAAAAAAAAAAAAAAAGCTTTTAAAACCTACAATTTCTGTAAGAGGCCTCAGGCATGTCATAACAGGCAGTCACATCTATGTTTTGAACCTCAGACTCAAGGAGGAAAATTCATCTACAAACGATCAGGATTCCCCAACATCATATTCGTCAACTGTTGGGACACAGCATGACTAACAAAGCACCATCAGTCCCCTAACTTCTCCAACCAACTCATGTTCCTCACAAGCTAAATAGCACAGAGGAGAAAAGCTTGAGAGAACACTTGAAGCATCAACTACCTGCTTCTGGTTTCAGACATGAAACCATTTGCAGGTTACACACACCACATTCCATTGCTCAACAGGGTCTTACTTGTCAATAAAGCTGCGTAGCTTTATTGACATCCAGCACCATGGAGGAACACTACAGCAAAAATTGCTACTTACCTGACCGCATTGCTTGTTAGAGACGCTCTCTAGGCAATTCAGAGCTTTTCCTCTGCAATTCCAGATCATGTTCTTGTGAGGACAGCGTGCGTTCATGCTTGCCCTTTTTCAGTCCACCCTACCACAGAAGGTCAAACGATGCCTAACGTTAGACAGATTCAAATAGTGCTTCAGCAGACGATAACATGCAAGGCAAATGGAAGCACAAGTTATTTCAAAAACCAGTTCCCCCACCAACCACAACTCTCACAGACCCCTGACTTGACTTAAGAGTCCTCACAGCTGTAGAATAGTTTTGGTTTTGCCTCACAAGGCAAGATATTTTTCTGGAATTGTCTCCCTAGGAAAACATTTTAGTAGCTGATATGCCACACAAAGGCATAATATACTAGGTACATGCTACAACTCTTTCAGGTCTGAAAGTACAGTGCCTCATTAGTCGACACAGTGATATCATACAAAGAATGGGGTATGCCATCAGCTTGCAGGATGTACATTCGTGAAAACCAAAGTTCTCAAGAGTAACACTGTCCCCTCCCTTACCCAAAAGCTAACTACAAAACACAAAAGAACTCTCAGTTTGGCAGTTCACCAATTGCTTGCATTTTCAAATGATTCATTTGAACAGTAGCTACAAAGGGGTTCCAGAATTAGATTAAATACGTCACAGGACAGCACCACCTCTGGCAGCTAGTTTTGGACGGTAAGCAACAGACACAGTTTTAAGACATTTTTCAACTTGACTCATTGTAAGCGTGAATACCATACACACTGTTGCAAAACAGATCACTAACAGTGCAGGTGGACCGAGGTAGGAAGGCGCCAAGTACGTCCCGTTTTGAACCTGTCCCAGGAACGGGGAGGACAACGACAACTTCTTCCTGCAGCATTACCAGGTGAAGTTCTAAAATTATGGATTTGGTTACATTTGAGAGGAGGCACACTTAGCGATAACGACACCAAAGAAAATCTCATCAACTGTGCCTTTCAAAGCCCTTTCAAGCTCAGAAAGCATAAAACATAACAGTTACCAAACAAATCACTCCACTTTTGGTCCTGGTGTACTTTGATCTCGAGGCCTCTACTACAGATGGTTAGGAGGCTCCTGCAGGGCCTCTGCTGGCATAGGTGCATCGACAACAGCGTCACCTGAGCCCTGTAACAGCAGACAGCACATTTTAATAGAAGGTGACCTTGACTCTACTGAGGCTTTTGACCCTGCCTCCCATCACATCCTCAGAGGCAAGCTCAGGAAGCGCAGGCTGCACGAGCGGACCGTGAGGTGCACTGAGAACTGGCCGGATGGCAGAGCTCCGAGGGTTGTGATCAGCGGCGCAGAGTCTAGTTGGAGGCCTGTAGCTAGCAGTGGCCCCCAGGGGTCAAGACGCGGTCCAGTCTTGTCCAACTTATTCATCAGTGACCTGGAGGAAGGGACACTGCGCCTCCTCAGCAAGGTTGCTGAGGACACAAAACCAGCAGGAGCGGCTGAGGCACCAGAGCTCCGCACTGGCATTCAGAGGGACCTGGACAGCCTGGAGACATGGGCAGAGAAGAACCCCCCGAAGTTCAATAAAGGCAAGCGCAGGGTCCTGCACCTGGGGAGGAAGAACCCCAGGCACCAGCACAGCCTCGAGGCTGACCCGGTGGAAAGCAGCTCTGCCAAGAAGGACCTGGCAGTCCTGGTGGACAAGCGGACCATGAGTCAGCAACGTGCCCTGCCGGCCAAGACAGCCAACGGTAGCCTGGCCTGCATGAGCAAGAGCATGGCCAGCAGGTCGAGGCAGCTCATCCTTCCCCTCTACTCAGCCCTGGTGACGCCACAGCTGCAGCACTGGCTCCTCTTCCGGGCTCCCCAGCACAAGAGACACACACAACTCAGCAGCCCTCCACTCGACTCCCTCCCAAAGACCATTAAGGGACTGGAGCATCTCTCAGATGACGAAAGGCCAAGAGCACCCCACCTATTCAGCCTGCAGAAGACAAGACTGAGGGGGGCATCCGATCAATGCCTGCAAGTATCTGAAGCAAGGGCGTCCAGAGGATGGGGCCAGACTCCTCTCACTGGTGCCCACCGATAGGGCAACAGGCACAAACTCAAGCACACAAAGGTCCACCTGAACATGAGGAAAAACTTCTCTATCCTCGAGCGTGACTGTGCACTCAAACAGGTTGCCCAGAGAGCTTGTATAGCCTCCTTCCCTGGAGAGGTTCCAAAGCCATCGGGACACAATCCTGGACAACGTGCTCTAGGCCATCCTGCTTCAGCAGGGGGGCTTCACTGCACGGTCTCCAGAGGTCCCTGCCAACCTCAATTATTCTCTTGCTTCTATGAAAAGTATGGAATAGCAGTACAGACTCTTCCC